TTGGTATTATCATTGTGCTCTACCCAGCTGAGGCAGTCGCTTGCTGGCCATTGGATGGCTGCTCACGGTGGCTCACAGCAGCTCACACCGGCTGCTGGCCGCTCACGCTGGCTGCCGGCCACACATGGTAGCTCACGACAGCGCACTGCAGCCCCACTGCAGCTTACGCGGTTGCTGGTAACTCATGGCAGCCCAGCTCCAGGTCGAGCTGTTGTTCACCATCTTAGCTGTAGAGGGCGCAGCGTCACTGGCCCTCATGTGGGATCTGAACCGGGGTCCTGCTGCGCAGAGATGGTGCCCCCAAACCCAACTTGTAACCAACGGGCCACTTGGCCAGCCCTGAGTTAAATTTTTTATATGGTGTGAGGTAAGGCTCCAACCGTTCTTTTGCATATGGAAATTCAGTTGTTCTAGCACCATTTGTTGAAGAAACAATTCTTTCCCCATTGAATGGACTTGGCATACTTGTAAAAAATCAATTGGCCATAGATGTATAGGTTTATTTTTGGATCTCAATTCTATTCTAATTTATAATGGTCTCATGTCTAGCCTTATGTCAGTATCACATAGTTTTTACTAGTGTAGCTTTGTAGCACATCTTGAAGTGTGAAGTCCTCCAACTTTGTCCTTTTTCAAGATTGTTTTGGCTATTCAGGGCCCCTTGCAATTCCATATAAATTTGAGGATTGGCTTTATCACTTCTGCAAGAATGGCTCTTGAAATTCTGATAGGGCATGGTCTTTTATTCAGAAATTTTACATTTCAATGTGGCTAAATTATCTCTCTTAACTCTTATGATTTTGGGGTTTTCATGTTGTTTAGGAAGGTAGTTCCTATCCCAAGATTATAGATAAATTATCTTATTTTTTTCTAATAACTTTATCATATTTATAGTTATAAGCCATAATATAATATAACCCATCAGGAATTTACTTTTGCATATGGTGTGAAGTTATGAATCTAACTATATTTTTTCTCTAACTGGATTGTTCTACATAAATTATTGAATAGACTACTGTTTTCCATTTATTGAAATGCCACCTTCATCATACATTAAATTCCTACATGGGAAAATCTATTTTTGGTTTCTATTCTGTTATTAATCTTGCCTATTTCTGAACTAACAACACAGCATTTTCATTATAATAGTCTTTTTCCTCATTCTTTAAAAATCTATTTCTTGGGTATTCTTTTTGAGATGAGTTTTAGAAACAACTTGTCGAGTGCCACAAAAAAGATATCCTTTTGGGATTTTGATTGGAATATACTGAATTCGTAATTTGTATAAATTATAATTTTATTTTTAATCTTCCCAACCCCAAACAGGTTACATATTTTCTTTCATTCAGGTATTCTTTTATGTCCTTCAGTTAACTTAATTGATCAGTTTAAGATATTACATATGTATTCAAATTAATTTATGTTGTTCATTTGCAGCTTGTAAACTTTTTCTTGGGTATATTCCTAAATATATTAGTTTTTGTTGTTATTGTGAATGACTTTAGTTTTATTATCTTTTTCTAATTGGATATTACCAGGCTATATGATAACTTCTGAATACATATATTCTAAATATTACTTATAGAAACTTTCCTACAGGTTCACTAACATAGTTAAGCAGAGATCTATGTACAAGGCTGTATGGTATAACATAGTAAGAGCAAATAATTGGAAATAGTCTAAATGTTTACCAATAGAAGACGGATTAGGTAAATTATAGTACATCTGCACAACGAAATGCTTTGTAGCTTTAGAAGGAATGAAGTAGATTTCTGCATATGGAAAGTTCTCCAAGATATATTGAAAATATATTGTTGTATAAAGAAGCAACAGGTGGAACAGTAGGTAAATGCTACAATTGTGTTTTTATTTATTTGTATATGCATACATTATTTCTGGAAGGATATACACTAAATTGTTAATGGTGATGCTTCTAGAGAAGGAGGTTGGGAAATTATTATGTGTCATCAACAATGATGTGTTCACACCCATTTTTCTCTTCCAGGAAACATGGGAAGACTACATTTCCCAACCTTCCTAGTAGATGTGATCTCACCAATGGGAATGCGGGCAGAGGAATGTGTCACTTCAGCTCCAAAGCAATTAAGTGTCAGTGTGAATCTTTTCCCCACTCACCCAGTCCCCAACCTCTCTCCCATTTGAGCAGCTGGGATCAAGAACTTTGAGATGATAGAGATGCTGGGTAGAAGCAGCTCTGATCTGAGTCACTGCTGGAGGAGAATAGTACACCAACATTGTATACCTCACACTGTGATTTGAGTGAGAAACCAAACTTTGTTGTGTTAAGCCACTGAGATATGAAGGTTTATTTGGTACCATATGTGGTGAATTAAAGATGACCAGAAATTTTTTGGCATTCCTTCCATTAAAAACTGGGGTCTATGTCTCCTGTCCTTGAACCTGGGCTGGACTGTGATGGCTTTGACCAACGGAATGATTGTTTTGGGTGCTCCCTCTCAGAATCCAGATTCTCAGGATCTAGAATCATGCTCTAAGAAACGTAAGCCACATGGAGGCACTTTGGTTTTCAGCTCTAATTGTCCTTCCAGCCAACTGCCAGCATCTATTGCCAGAGTGAGCCCTCATTAGTAACCAGCCCAGCTGAGTCTTCAGATGACTCCAGTCCTGCTTGTGACTGAGACCACATAAGAGACTCAAAATGAGAGTCACCTAGCTGAGCTCAGCCAATACTCAGAATCATGAGATAGTAAAAAAAAAAAAGTTGTATTAAGTAATAGATAACCAAAAGACCACAGAACAAACTGTTCTATCCTGACCAGTATGAAGGTGTGAGGCAAAGAGACTTGCTCTTGTGCTGTTTGAATTTTTGGCTATGTGCGTGTGATTTATTTTTAATTAAAAATAGCTAGAGCTTTGAATTCAAAAGTTCTTATTGCAGGGCCATGAAAATTGGTTTTGTATATTTTTGATACCACAACAACAATAGTTAATATTCACTAATCACCTACTCAACTGGCGCCAGGCCCCATTCTCAGTGCTGAAGACAGAGCTGGGATCAAAGCTGACTTGGTGCCGGCTCTCCCGAAACTTCCAGCCTGATAGGAGAGACAAAAATAAACAACTAAACAAACACAGAAACTCAATCCTTTCTGGGAATGCAAGTGCTCTGAAAGGAAGAACAACTAGATGATATGCACAGTGATTGGGATGGGGGCTGTTTCAGATTGGGCGAACAGGGAAGGTCTTCTGAATGAAGGGGTAGTGTCAGCCCTTGAAATTTCTGGGGGAAAAGCACCAGGAATAGGGGACAGCCAGGGTGAAGGTGCCATGGTGGGACTGAGTTTGGCAGTGATTTCAGTATTGTGAGTACGACTTTATTCACAAAATAGAAAGAGGTAAGGTCAGAAGGTATAGGCATGAGCCAGATCAAGTAGGGCTTTGAAGGCCACGGGGTTAGGGTTGGCTTTGAATATGCTGGAAAGCCTTAGGAGGATTTTAAGTAAGAATAACATGAGCCAACTTAAGTTTTTGAACAATCACTCTGCTGGGAGATGCCTAACCCAGGAGCAAGTTTCAAACTATATTCTAAAGTACATTAGGTCTCTAAATCATGATATAATCACTTTTTATATTTATTAGTTATGAATCATGTTTTCCTAACATAACTCAAGATAAATTAAACAGCATGTTATATGTAAAAAATAGACATTTGTCTTCATGTACTATGAATGTGACCTAAAATTTTAAGTGAACTTTATAATACAACGTTTCATAGTCTAAAGGTAGAAGATAAATGTTTTTGGTTTTTTTTCTTTTTTTTAAGCTGAGCCATCCTGCCACCTGTTGGCAGCTCAGTGGCTGCTCAGCTTGGGCCAGGCATCGAACTGCTGTTGCTCAGAGCTCAAACTCTTGAGAGAGCTCTTAACCAACTGAGCCACTCGGCCAGCCCTGAAGATAAATGTTTTTAGTCAAAATCTTTATCGTATACTATTAAAAAATGACAACGTTATTTTAAATTTCCTAGGAATGTTTTAAGTCAAAAAAGGGTTAGGAACCCCTGACTCAATGTGACTTCGCACCTGAGAGAAATAGCACCTTTGCACCTCACAGCTAAGCAGAGCTCTGTTAATTACCCTTCAATGCACACAGCCCCAGCTCCTTTGATGATGTCCCCAGGCACCCTCATCCTAAAGGGAATTCATCACTGTTGCCAATTGGCCATTGGCCTTCATGGGAACCATGCCCTTCTCCAGGGCACGCCTTCTAGTGAATGTTAACACCCACCATCTACTCCTTCAACAGATAGGCTAGGCTGGGGCTGGGGTTAGAGGAGCCTTAACTGCATGCAGGGGCAGGAGTTTTCCTGGAGAAGGTGACCCATGAGTAGGAGTCAGGCTGACTAGAGAGGAAAGTGTTCCAAAGGAACATGTGCAAAGGAAATCAGGGGAGCTGAGCTCAGTTTATTGTGGTTTCAAAGCAGAGCAGGGTACTTTCTCCTGGGGTATCACCGGCATTTACTGCTTTCCGAGTCCTGTGCCATATCCCCATCCGCATCTCAACAGACCTGTCACTTCCAGGGCCTGTATGTTTCCCCAGTATTGCCAAATTTCTCTCATTTCCTGGGGATAAACAAGTCTGCATTCATTCACTGAGAGCAGGGCCTGCTGGGGCCTTACACAGTGCACTCCAAGGTGAGGCTGGACCTAGTGAATCCCTCCTTTCATTCCTCACACTAGCCTGTGTCTGCAGGGAGCTCTGGACAGGGGTCTTGCTGGAGGTAATTTTATGACAGTTTCCTAAAATCCATGATTCACTGTCAAGTTTACCTGTAAGAGATGTTGCTGCTCCTCCAGAGGCCAACCAAATAAAGTGAATCCGTTGTTGAGCCCTGAGCCTCAGAACCCCACTCCTGCACGATCTCAGGCAAGCCACTTCTCCCCTCTGGGCCAGGGGTTTGCTAGATGAAATCAGCTGCATCCCTTTAACTCTCAGGGACCTAAACTTTCTGTGACAAACTGGGCTCCTAAACCTTGCTCCCTACAAAGACGGTTTTGCCTCCTGTCCTTCCAGACCCGAATCCACCAAGTTTTTATGTCATCGAACCTCTGCACTTGTTCTTCCCACTGCCTGGAATCCTTTGCTCTCCTGGCCAACTCGTATTTCATCCCTCACGACCCAACTCAAATGCCATCATCTCCAAGAAGCAGGGCCTCTTCCCTTCAGTTCTTTCCTCCTCTCTGCTTTCTTATCTCGTTGTCATACTGTGTGTGCCTTGTGTCTGGGTCGCCTTCCCTCACAGATCTTGAGCGCGTCGAGAACAGGGGCGGGGAATGAGGGGGTCTCCAGGTCTGGAGTTGAGAGCTCCACCTGCTCTGGAGGGAGCGTGTACCAGCGTCTGTCACTGTTAATTCGGTCCTGGCGCTGTGATGTTAAATAGCACTAGGCCTGGAGGCCCCGCCTGCGAAGCGCGCCAACAGGCACGGGGGTAGCCGCCCCGGAGGCTCCGACCTCGAGTCCCCTTTATTACCTGACAGCAGTAGAGCCCCAACTTAGTTGAGAATTTTTTTGTGGAGCCCCCGTGGTGTAGACCCTGGGGCGGCTTCCCCTCACCGTTGCTTTCCGTTATCCCCCCAAGCCCGCTCTTGGTACGACCCGGGGATTTCCCGCCGCAGCCCTCCCCCTGACGTCACGGAGTCCCCTGAAAGCCCCGCCCCGGCCCGCACCCGCCTTCTTGGGCCCTGGTAGGAGCGCGGCAGGCGGGAGAGAGAGGCCATGGCAGGGTCCTGCGGCATCGGAGGCCCCGCCGCCCTCTGGAAACGCCACATCGTGCGGCAGTTGCGGCAGAGGGACCGCACGCAAAAGGCACTCTTCCTGGAGCTGGTGCCGGCCTGTGAGTGTGCCCCGGGGGGCTTAGAAGATGGCCGTGGAAGGGACGGGGCTCAGGGAGAGTGTCTGGCTTCTCCCACTGTGACTCAAGCTCACCAGTGCCTTCCCGCCACCGAAGCCTCGGGCCTGCTGGATCCCGTCTCTGTTACACCCCTTCTCCGACTAGTCACATCCCTGCCCTTTCCAACTTAGGTTCTCCTTGGAGTCCCTTCCTGGACGGAGCTCACTCCTGGTACCCCCGCTCTCTTCGCCCCTCAGGGTCTGCTCTGCCTCCCACGGGCTAGGCTTCCTAGGCCCAGATTCCTCAGCCAGTGTTGGTTTTGTAGTCTCTTGTGCTTACCCCGCTGAGCAGTCTCCAGGTTAGAGCCTGGTGTGCATTTGGTCCCCATAGCACAGTGAAACAACGCATGACTGTCCAGAGCAGCTACTTTTTGGCCAATCGAGGGAAGGAATGAAACTGAATCTCTAAGATGTAAACTCAGCCTCAGGCTTTGCCACTGATAGGTGATCCTGGCTCAGGTTTTTGGAGCACCTTTGCACCCAATCAACCGTGACCTGAGGGAGAAACAGGGAACCTCAGGCTGTGGGAGGGAGCTGGCTGAACCCCGGGAAGTCAGACCCTCACAGAGTTGTTTCTGGGGAGGTGGTCAGGAGGAGGTATGGTAGTTCAAGTGGGATAAACAGGTGTGCACCTGTGTAATGTCTCTGGTCACCTGAGGCTTATGTCTGGGGTTTAAAGTCCTTGGTGGAAGTGACACAGCCAGCGGACTGGGTGAGGGAAAGTTGCCGAGGAGCTAGGCCTGGGCTTTTCACCTCCACCCTACCCTGGAATTGGTGAAAAAAAAGGAAGTGTCCTCAGATGGGAGTGGAGAGGGTGTGTTTTAGGGTCTAACAGAAACTACAAACTTGAGGTCTGCTGGATAATTGCTCAAGAGTCTGGCCTGGGGGTGATGGGTAACCTTACACCAACCTGAGGAAGTCAGGATGGTTTTTTAGTCCAGAAAGTTAGAGCCCCTGGAGGGGAAGTAAGCCACAGGTGGAGCTTAGCTTGTTGCATCACTGTGTGTGTGTGTGTGTGTGTGTATGTGTGTGTATCAATCCCTGGCCCCTTCTTTTCTCAGGACCCTTAGTGGGCAGGGCCCAGTCATTTCCTTCCCCAGCATTAATTGTCCTTCTTTGTCACTGGGGGAGCAGGTTTTCTCCTTGGAGGGCCTGGGGGTTAGTGTTATGAGGAGGCTGTACCAGCGCTGAAGGTCCTCTTATGGTTGCACAAATACCCCTCAGGCAAGGGGCGGAGCCCTGGCTTCCAGTACTCTGCCATTTTGCACCCCTGGGCTCCTGCAGCCTTCCCAGCCAGAGAGGTAACCTGTATGCCTGGAGTCTCCTGGAAAGTGTCTGTCTTTACCCCAGGCTCACCCTCTTGAACCCCTAGATAACCGCCTCCTAGAGAAGGCTGAACTACTGGCCCAGTTCTCAGAGAAGGTGCAGCCAGAGCCCAATGATGCCACTCTTGCTACCCACCAGGGCTCCTGGTGAGTGTATGTGTGTTCAAGGTCACAATGGGCTGCCCGGACCCTGCCTTTCCTGCCAACATTGGGTTCATTCTCTCCCTGGCATCCCAGTGGCCCCTCACTGCTGCCCAGGGGAAGGGGAGGTGGGCTCTTCAGCCTTCCCCCAAACCAGCTGCTTAGAATGTCCTCTCCCACCCATCTCAGTCCCATCTCCTTCCCCTCCTCTGTCTCTGCCTCCCTGTTCCTTACCTGATGCCTACAGAAAGGGTCTTGCTATATATTCCAAAGCGGGACTAAAAAGGAGAACTAGGAATGGGTTGGGGCTCAGATTTGGGAGGTGCTTCTTGAGGAGGGTCCTGGCCATGGAACCCAAGGCCTGGAGAACTCCCTGAGCTGAGGAGTCATGAGCAACTTCAGTTTCTGGAGATGCACTCTTTACTCTATTGGCTTTCTGGCTTCCACCTTCCTCAGGAGAAAGTACATGGCTCTAGTTTCAGGCTCTTCATGCACATCCCTGGGTGAATGGAGAGACAACGAGCACCACTCTCTTGGTTGGTTGGCAGGGAGAAGGAGTCGGGGCCTGACTCAGACCAAGTGCCATCACCAGCCACTCTGAGGGTGAAGTGGCAAGAGGAGAAGGAGGGGCTTCAGCTGGTCTGTGGTCAGGTAGGCTGGGCAGGGGTCTGGCAGAGAATGGGGTGGGGCCAGGATCCAGGACTTTGGGGGCTGGGAGATGTGGTCCAAGGGAGCCAGCAAAGGAGGGACATTCCCTAAGTCCAATGAGGCTGGACAGGGGTGAGAGTGCTCTCTAGCTTGGCTCTGGCAGCCCAGGATGAAGTGGATTCCAACAGCAGCTGGAAGAAGTGAGGTGAGAGCTCCGGGAGGAGTGTGAGGTATACAGGGCCCAGGTGGCCTCTATTCCCCCTTCTGGATGGTCCAGCCTGCTCTGCTCACCACTTGCCCCTGCCAACCTCAGGGCCTAGCATCAGTTGATGCTTAATATACATTTGCAGACTAAATGAGTAAGGTGGTCCATCTCCATGGCAGGTTGCCCTACCTCCACCTGACACTGCTTGCCGCTCGGCCTCCCCGTCCCCCTGTGTTTCTTGGCTTGTTTCATCACACTCTTTTGGTTTTTCTCTCATTTCTGTACTTGTTGCTTCTGAACATCCTTCTCTGGCTCCTTCCCTCCTCCCTTTATATGTGATGTTCTTTGGAGCTCAGGTGTATTCACTGACTCCCCACAGCCTCAGAGACTTTGCTGACTCTCAGATCCGTCTCTAGCCCAGCCCTCGCTTCTGAGCTCAGACTCTTGCTCAGCTGCATTTTGGACTTAACATCTAAAGTCAGACTCACCATCGCCGCATAATAAAATGGCCAACACCACATTGAGGTGACTCCACGCAGGCACTGGGCTAAGCATTATTTTAGCTAATCCTACACAACTTTATAGTTACAGAGGAAACTGAGGCTTAGAGAGGCAGAGCCAGGATTTGAACTCCCTCCCATACGAATCCACCTCTGTGCTCTCCATTCAGTCTGTTAGCAATATTTATTGACAATTGCTATATCCAAGGCACAGGGAATGCAGCAGTAAGCAAGACCTGGCCCCATGGAGCTTCCAGTCCACTGGAGGAGACTGATAGGCCAGTAAATATGCCAAGTCACTTGTGCAACTAGTGTGGGATTGGGGTTATGAACCCAGTGAGAGTCTCTCCCTTAGAGCCCTGTTGTAGCTGCAACTTGACATGTGAGAGGTGATTCTCAAACATGTGAGCCTCCTCTGGGCTGTGAGTGCCCCAGTGCCTGGGATGCCTTTAGTCTGCCTGCACTGCATCCCTGGGGCCTGTCCCCACACCACATGCTAATGAATATTTGTAGACTGAGTCATGAACGAGGTAGATCATGTCTTCCTCCATTGGTAGTCAGTCACCGGGCTGGAAACCTAGGGGCACCCCTGATCCCTTCCAGCCCTCCGCTCTGAGCTAGTCACCAGCTCATGGTCTTGTCTCCAAATCCATCAACTTCTCTCTGTTTCCTGTACCATATCTGTCCTGGTCCAAGTTACTCTCATTACTCCCTGGATGACTCCCCCCTTGGAACCCCCATTCATTTTCCATACAGCACTCAGATATTTTAGTAATAAAAATGATATCCATTAAAAAGAGACAAGTAATATATAATACATGCTTGTGAACATTTCAAGAGAACATAAGCCCATACAGTAAAAAAGTAAAAGCCCCCTTTGCCACATCTCCCCATTATCAGTTTGGTATATATACATCCTGCCACTCTCTTGTCTCTGTGCTCATGGTTCCTTTTGTCTGGGATACTTCCGCACACCCCTCACCCTCAGCACTCCCTGCCCATCACTTCCTCAGACACACACCAGTCAGCTCCCATTGGATACACCAGGGGATGAGGAGGGGCTTTCTCTTTAATTCTTAGTAGTTTCACACATCACAACAAGCATGTATTATTATTGTTTTTAACTTTTTATTTTGAAATAATTATAGATTCACAGGAAGCTGCAAAGACAGTAGAGAGGTCCTGTGTACCCTTCACCCAGTTTCCTGCATTGATTATTACATCTTCTGTAACTATAGCACACACAACCAGGAAATTGATATTGGTATGAAGCGTATATATAGTTCTTTGTCATTTTGTCACATGTAGATTTGTGTGACCATCAAGATACAGCACTATTTCATCACCACAGAGATCTCTCTCTTGCTACAACTTACCCCTCTCCCTCAACCATCCCTAACTCCCAGTAACCACTTCAGCGGTTCTCAACCTTCCTAATGCCGCGACCCCTTAATACAGTTCCTCATGTTGTGGTGACCCCCAACCATAAAATTATTTTAGTTGCTACTCTATAACTGTAATTTTGCTACTGTTATGAAT